ACATAATGACCCTTCTATATTTTGTGATAACCTGACTGAATATTTGAAGTCCTGTTATGACGCGCGACCCGTGGGAACGTTGTAGGTACGGTCAAACCGTTTTTCGTCCCCTACACTTGAACGATAACGTCGGAAGAAAGAACAAGCCTTCAAAGTAAAAAAATCACTCTTTAGTGAGAGATCATTCAAAAGCAATGAAAGCGGAATTTTTCGAGGTTTAACACCGCCTACGTACATCCACGGTTGGCCAACTCACCTAATAAGGCGTTTTGTTTTTTATCTTGTATCCTTCCCCACTGGCTTTATGCATCTCGTTATTTTTACGGGTCTTTTAATCAAAGACTTCAAACTCAGACGTACATCCATCAAACACGTATGTTGATACAGTGGTATATGTCGCCAACATGTGGTGCAGCTTAGTATTTCACAGCACTTTAGGGCTTGCCAGAAATTTTCTACCAGAATACTGCTAGACCCATCTCACCTTCTGCACTATCATCTTGGTAAAAATATATCTCTACATCTAGCACTCGCTCCGAATATAAGCATCTAGCAGCACACACCACAACATACAAGTCTTCTTTAACAGTGTATTTGGCCCGGTTTCTTACTAATGCCGATCTTGTCATTGAGAGCCTTAAACAGAAACTTTGCTAAATTTGTCTTATTTGCTTGTGTATCCGGTGTATCGTCATCCTTTTTGTTTTTACCATGCCATTTCCACAGAAGAGTGATTGTGTAATAGCCGAATGTTCATCCTCCTATGGGGCAGATGAGGGCGGCTTCTTGGCTTGACTTGACCTACCGGCCATTTAGATGACTATGACTTCTACATATAGTCTTTTCTTGTTCTCGTTCATGTTTTATTTTTATGCTCATTTAGGACAAGGCTGGACATACTCAATGAGTGTTTTTGCCTCGGCAGACTCCGCATATTGCCATTCAAATTAATTGGGGATTTTACACCTTTTCTTAATTAAATCAACGACGAATAGTCAATTCAGTTCCTCTACAGTAAGGGGTGGGCTGAAAGGATACTAATAGTTGATATCTCCTAACGATCTAGTTCATACAGTACCGCGCTGGATTCATAATTAAACAAGTTCATCAAGTACGCTTCCTGATTATTTCTGTCTGCAATATAACATTCTGTGTACCTTCCATATGCCTGCTACATTTAAGCTTGGCAAAGCACATAGTTTGAGGTGCTGATTATAAAGATCTCGTAGAAGCTGCCACTTCAGATTTTAAAATCGCCGGTCCTAAGTACGAAGTCCCTCTGACCATAGAGTTCACCACGTTATTGTGCGTATTTATTTGATGGTTTCTTTGGGAGTTCCCTGGGGCGAAACACATTTTACACACAGATACGCAGTTGAACAGTGCGTTGCTTTGTCACTAAACACGTTTCTCTAATGTACTCTCTCCCCCTTCAGTTTGATGCGCAATTTTTTTGGTCGCGATGCAAAACGTGGGCAGCTAGTCCTAATGCATTTAGTTTTATGTTTACTTGTTGTTTGCCCTTATCTGTTCCGTTTGTCACTAGTTTTTCCGTTCTACATAGAAAAATGCCCATCGTCCCTATTTTGCTGTTAAACGGTTTGTATTTCTCTCTTCTTTTCTTAGCCGTCGCCTCTCCCCGCGCCACAAGTCTCCATCCCCAAAGCGGAGTCGATGAGAAGAGTCGTCCCACTGAACGGCTTAGCCGCAAAACTACGCGACGGTCCGGTCGCACGCGCCACCATTCCCTATGTCAGGCTCGCAGGCTGAGCACGTACCTTCAACTTGGTCTGCTCTTGTTACCCATGGCGAATTTTTAATACCCCCACACCTTGTCTCTCTCTTAAGCTCATTCAACACCCATTCATCCTAGTTTTCTCACCTTTCTCCTGATGCCTGTCAAACACCCTGCCCGGAAATTCGAGTCGACTCATCAGAGATACAGTTTGGTTGTGAGTGGCCAAGTCCTGGGGAAAAATACAGGATTGGCTGGCCACACTCGGGGATCAGAGATATCCACACAGCCGTCAAACAAGTCAAGCGCCGCTTGAGAAACAGAAAAATAGCAATTTTTCGTGTTCAACCTCTTCTATCATTCTTGGGTGATGTGGTCGTTGATTAGAGCGCACACATGCATGTACGTGTATGCTTGTTATGCCACGACACGCGGCAATGAGGGGCCATCCTGTGTAGCTCGCAGGAGCATAGAGGCGCGCAAACGAGGTGTTATCCTTCACTTGACACCTTTACATGTGAGACGCAGGACTTGATGCAGTTTTCAAAGAATATACTAATGAAGAGAGAAAACCAGCCCACAGCCATGCGCTGTCTGCACTAGATTGCAAGAAACCAGAAATCTATTACCGGGTTAGCCTTCGGACTTACCTCGAGAACAGACAGACGATTTTAAAGTGCGTTTTGTTTCACTGAATAGGCGGTCGCGGGAGATCATCAAAGATACCTTTCAAATAGGCGGAATTTCACCTGGTAAGCTATCTCTCTGCGAGAAACCACAAATACAAGTAAGACACGTCATGTTTGTGCATCCTCGGATAACAAAGCCGAGTGACACTGTCAAGTGCCAATTTGTGCTATGGATTCAATCACGAAGATGGTTTATTCGCCCGACGGAAAGGGAAAGTTTTGCGAATCATGGGAGTATATTTCAGTAGAAAAAGTAAAAGATGAACAATGACTCTCAAGGAATACGAGATGAGACTGATACGGGTCGAGGTGGGTCCTGAACGAGTGTGAACAGCGGATAAAGCTCGCGGTCTAGTAGAAACATTCCGTTATCGGCTTCGGACAGATCTCCGAGAGTCCTCTGTCAAAAAATAGAACACACGATAAAAGCTAGTATTACTCGGTTTGATCTTAGCGAACAGATAGAGCAATTCGAGACAAAGAAATCCGCGCACTTACTGCACATTTCTTGAAATACGATAAAATTTTTCCACAAAGTCTGAACGCCCAAGAAGCTCAACAAACTCTTCGTCATGAGTAATGACTACCAGTTGAAAGTTCTTTTGTTCTCTTCGGTCCTTGATGATCCTGTAATCAAACGTGGGGCAGAGGAGGGTTAGTAATGATGATGGCTAACAGAAAACAAGTCAAGCCAAGAAACACTTTTTGCATCTAAAGGATATAAAACAAAATGCGATCAACAAAAATAATATAACAGATTGCTTATTGCGGTGAATGAGAAACAAAATTATTCCAAAAGTCTTTCCCTGAGGTGGATCACAATTGTCTTACGATCAACAAATAGCCGAGCAAGGTGTGGAATTCTACTGTCTCTATGCGTGGAAGTATGCGCAGGAAGGAGTTGATATTTGGAGCGAGTTGGATGATTCGATACGGCTTTCACGATTTCTCGATGCAGACAGTGGCATTGATCGTAACAATCAAAGTAACACAAATGTCAAAACGATTGGAAATGATGAAAATCAACCAAAAACGATCACTTCCACTGCAACCCGACAGAAGTTTGACGGTCCTAGAAAAAGAGAAATCTTTGTCTCTCAGACCAATGACATATATTGGGGGCAGTATGACCAGTGTGTAAGGATTCAGGCAATCACGAATTTAAGCATAATATTACATGCAGCGGCCAGCTTCCTCGGCCTGTATGCTTGAAAAGACAGTTTTCGAACTTTTCTAAAAATGCTGATGCCATTAGCAAGTTACGAGTGTAGCCGCTTTTATAAATAAGTTCAAAGTTGTCTTGGAGAGGCGGAAAACTGTCTAGACTAAAGGATGAACAACCAATCACAATATCTACAGCAGGTTTGCAAGCAATAAAATCAGAGGAATTGGGAGATTTTGTATGTACAAAGAAAAAAGAAAGGGGCGAAAATAGCCTCCTGGAGAAGCAGCGCCAAAGGTAATGAAAGACAACTGTAGCATTATATGATGTAAAGCCGTCAGTACCCACCATTACAGATGCGAGAGTATTTTGTCTAGACTAGACAGGAGTACCCTTGACTTCATCTGAGTTTTTTTATTTTCTTATTCTTTTCATTTGTGTTTGTGATCCTTGAACAACTCTCACAATACAGAGAATTAGTCACAACCCAGTGATGTTGGATTGATAACCGACCTAATTAGCTATTTGTGGAGATTCGCGATAAGCTAGTACCAAAAATGAATGATATCTGCGCACCTTTCAAAAACAGGGTAGTGCTGGTCAGCAATCGAAGCAAGATCCTCCCTCCTTCATTTCGATGAGTGAGTAACATTATTTCAACGGGTTTAAACTGCTTCAACATTAAACCGAATCAAGCTGAAGGTTTATTGAGTATAGTCGATGAATATGAAAACGGACTAACTGCACTTGCATGTGTTACTTATGTCTGGGATTGAGAGCCCGGAACAAACTATGACGATTTACACGCGTGAAGTACCATAGTACCCTAACACGGAACTTCGATTTAGTTACAGGTTAACACATCGATTCATTGTCGTTTCTGATGAGACTCAGCGGGACCAGAATGTGGTGCCGGACATGCACTAACACACTACACGTACTAAAGCTGCCCTCGAGAGTCGCTAGTCACTTCTCGGACACACCATTCAGAGAGAAACAGTGAGTGTCAGAGCTTAGAACAGTAGATTGAGTCGAAAGCCGCATTCAGATCAAAGAAGATAGAAATAGTGGGACTGCGAAAGGATGCCTGTGCTCCAGGACTTGGCGAACAGTGAAGATGGGGTCCATACAACTTCGATGAGGTCCTAAATCAGCTTGGTAATCACGCGTGCACCGTTCACATGCGGCAGACAATCGACGGAGTATGATGCCAGCGAGAAGTTTAGACGCAATGTTGAATAAACTAACTCCCTGTAGTTTTCCCGAGAAGGTCAGTCACCTTCCTCGTAAATCGGTTAGATGCACTATTCAAACTTGCGGTTGGCTGACCTTACTAGTTGAACGCTGAGTGCAATTCCGTGGGTGGCGCAAACAGTATGTATATCCTAATATCTTTCAGTGAGATAAAGAGCTGGATTGATGGGAAAGACGGTTTTTCAAATAGGCATCTAAGACTTCGAGGGCATGACATATTTCATGGTAGCCCACGCCGACGAAGGTTGCTTTGTTTTGGCACACCGACCGGAGCTTTTAACTCAGAAGCCTGACTCACAAGACAGTGGGGCATAGGTCCTACGCGGGAGCGTAACGGAAGCACCCGTGTGGGGGCTTCTAGAGACCTGTTACGCAAGGATTTATGGTTTCATTTCAGCGTTTTCGCTTGTGCGCTGACTAACTTTGTGCTTTTCGGGATTGGCCCTCTGCCTCATGCGCCCAGTGAGACACCCGGAACATGGACGGCAAAGCACTTCATTGGCTGGAGGTTGCCCAGCTTGGACGGGGTGTAGCTGTTCGATGAAGTGCGAAGACTTCTCCCACCGTAAAGACTGCGTGCCACAGCAACCAACAAACAAAGTTGGGCATCGGAATGGCCTCCAAAAGCCTCTATATGGTCGGGGGTGGGT